AAAAAAAAAAAAGCAAAAGCCATCCTACAGTTATGGTATCTAGTGAAGCTGGGTTAGATGAAATCCCAGACAGAGAACTCAAAACAATGATTCTATTAAAGAAAATAAGCTCTTGATTGAGAACACCAACCTGGATGAAATAAGGAAGTTGATGCAAGCTATGAAAGGGGAACTGAACACAGAGGAAAACTGAAGCAAAACCAGTCTGAAATGCTGGAAATGAAAAACACAGTAAATCAAATAAAAAGCTCTGTGGAGTCTCAACATTAGAATGGATGAAGGAGAGGACAGAATATCTGGGCTTGAAAATAGGGTAGGGGGACCAAAAAGAAAAAGAAAAGAAAAAGAGCTAGGCGTGGTAGCACACACCTTTAATCCCAGCACTTGGGAGGCAGAGCCAGGCAGATCTCTGTGAGTTCAAGGCCAGCCTGGTCTACATAGTGAGTTCCAGGACAGCTGGGGCTACAGGGAGACCCTGTCTCAAAAAGATTTAAAAAAAAAAAAAGATAGGGTAGAGGGACTGAAACATAAAACAAGGACAAAGATAAAATAAGAAGGCACCAGTAGGAATTCCAGGATATACAAGAGTATCTGAAATGACCAGATCTGGGGCTGGAGAGATGGCTCTTGCAGGGGAACCAAGGTGGCTAACAGCCTTCTATAACTCCAGTTCCAGGGAGTTCTGAGGTCTTCTTCTGATTTCTGTGGGCACTGCATGTATGCACATGGTACACCTACATACATGCAGGCAAAACACTCATAAAGTAAGTAATAAATTTTTTAAAAAATAATGAAATTACCTAATTTATGGATAACAGACATATAAGAAAAAGAAGAATCTAGTTCTAAATTCATCTCATATATATATACATATATATATATATATTTTTTTGAGATAGGGTCTCCCTGTAACCACACCTGACCTCACCTGGATTCATACAGAGGCCAAACTGGCTTCAAACTCACAGAGATGCGCCTGCGGCTGCCTCCCAAGTACTGACATTAAAGGTATGCACCCCCATGCCTGGGTCTCCCTGTAGCCCCAGCTGTCCTGGAACTCACTATGTAGACCAGGCTGGCCTCAAACTCACAGAGATCTGCCTGCCTCTGCCTCCCAAGTGCTGGGATTAAAGGCGTGCGCCACGGCACCCAGCTCCTTATTTATTATTTTTATTTTATGTGTATGAGTGTATTACCTGCATGTATACGCTTATAAGTGCACCCATGTTGTGCAATGCTCACTGAGGTCAAAAGAGGGCATCAGAACCCCTGGAACTGGAGATAGGACAGTTGTTAGCCATGATGTGAGTGCTGGGAACTGAACCTGGGTCCTCTGCAACAGCAAATCAGTGCTCTTTAACCTCTGAGCCATTTCTCCAGCCCCAGAAAAGAAATTTTTTTTGGTCTTTTTGAGACAGGGTCTCCCTGTAGCCCCAGCTGTCCTAGAACTCACTATGTAGACCAGGCTAGCCTTGAATTCACAGAGATCCACCTGCCTCTGCCGCCCCCCCCAGTGCTGAGATTAAAGGCGTGGCCACCATGCCTGGCAAAGAAATCAAAACAAAAGTAGGCATGGTGGTGCACACCTTTAACTCGAGCACTCAGGAGGCAGAGGCAGGAGGATCTTTGTGAGAGGAGGCCTGACTAGTCAACATAGCAAGTTCCAGACCAGCTGGGGAGACTACAGGGAGATCCTGTCTCAAAAAACAAAAAAACAAAACAAAACAAATAATGTCCCAGAGTTAGGAAAAACGATGTGAATCCAAATACAGGAGGTATTTAGGACACCAGAAAGAGCCTGCCCTTGTCATATTATAATTAAAACACTAAATATGCAAAAAAATGAAAGACTGTTGATTCTTTTTTTTTTTTGGTCTTTCTGAGACAGGGTCTCCCTGTAGCCCCAGCTGTCCTGGAACTCACTATGTAGTCTAGGCTGGCCTTGAACTCACAGAGATCCGCCTGCCTCTGCCTCCGAGTGCTGGGATTAAAGGACTGCGCCACCACTCCCGGCTGAAAGACTGTTGAAAAGAGTTAAGAGAGAAACATCAAGGCACATATAGAACTGAGACCACCAGAATAACAGCAGATCCTTCAAATGAAATTAAGAGCCAGGCGGGCCTGGATGAATGAGGTTCAGATTCTGAAGATGAGTGCCAGCCCACACTACCAAAGCTCTCTGTCATAATTTAATGAAAAATAAAAACTTTCCATGATAAAAAAAAAAAAAAAAAAAAAAAAAAAAAAAAGCGAAAGGAATCCATGGCCACTAAGCCAGAAGATACCTGAAGGAATTCTGAGGGGGGAAAATCCACCCATGAGGCCACAGGAAAGAATACACCATGCTAGAGTAGCTAGTTCAGTGAGAGATGAGAGGAGAAAGAAGCAAACACTACAAAATCAACAAAGTGACAGACATCAGAGGACCCTGGTTTGGTTCCCAGCACCCACAGGATAGCTCACAATCACCTGTAACTCCAGTTCCAGGGGACCCACAGAAACTGCACACATTGGTACACATGCATACATGCAGGCAAAACACTCATATCTATAAAAAATATAATTTTTTTTTCAAAGTGGACCTGAAGTTTATTGTCCCTGCCCCCAGGCCACAGTTCCCACAAAAAAAAAAAAAAAAATAGTTTTTTAATTAATAAAAAAGAAACAACCAGCCGGGCATGGTCGTCCACGCCTTTAATACCAGCACTTGGGAGGCAGAGGCAGGGGGATCTTTGTGAGTTGGAGGGCAGCCTGGTCTACATAGAGAGTTCCAGGACAGCTGGGGCTACAAGGAGACCCTGTCTCAAAAAGACCAAAAAAAAAAAAAAAGAAAAGAAAAGAACCAAATCAAAGAATAGGCCACAGAACTGAACAAACAGTTCCCAAAAGAAGAAATGAAAATGGCTAATAAGAATTTTTTAAAATGTTCAACAATAGCCAGGTGTGGTGGGTGGCACATGCCTTTAGTCCCAGCACTCTGGAGGCAGAGGCGGGTGGATCACTATGAGTTCAAGGCCAGCCTGGTCTACATAAGGAGTTCCAGGCCAGCTGGGGCTACAAAGAGACCTTGTTTCAAGAAGACAAAAAAGACCCCCCAAAAAAAAAAAGTTCAACATCATTGGCCAGCAGGGAAATGCAAATTAAAACTACTTAGAGATTCCATCTCAGTCAGAATGGCTATCATTAAGAAAACAAATTTGGGCTGTAGAGATGGCTCAGTGGTTAAGAGTGCTGGCTGTTCTTGCAGAAGACCCAGGTTTGAATCCCAGCACCCACATAGTGGCTAACCATTGTCTATAACTCCAGTTCCAGGGGATTTGACACCCTCTTCTGTCCTCTGAGAGCACTGCGCCACACAAATGCACTTACACACAAGCAGACACAACACTCATACAAATAAAATAAAAATAAATTTAAAATAATTATATTTTGGTCTTTTTGAGACAGGGTCTCCCTGTGCCCCAGCTGGCCTGAAACTGGCTATGTAGACCAGGCTGGCCTCAAACTCAGAGGTCCCCCGTCTCTGCTTCCCAAGTGCTGGGTTTAAAGGCATGCACCACCACACCCAGGCCCCCTCAAAAAATTTTTTAACAAAAACAAATGCCAACAAATGCTGGAAAGGATATAAGGAAAGAGGACTATTTATCCATTGTTGGTGGGGGTATAAACTGATGGAACCACTATGGAAGTCAGTGTGAAGGTTTCTCAAAAAGCTAAAAACGAGCTGGAGAGATGGCTGTTTTTAAAAGCACTGGCTGCTCTTCAGAGGACCCAGGTTCAGTTCCTACCACCCACACAACAGCTAACAACTGTCCCTAATTCCAGTTCCAGGGGATCTCACGCCCTCTTCTGGCATCTGTGGGCATTGCATACATGTGATGCACTTACATACATGAAGACAAAAACATTCATACCCATAAAATAATGTTTTTAAAATAAAGCCAAAAATAAAACTACCATATGCCCCAGTTATACCACTGCTGGGCATAAAGCCAAAGACTCCATGTCCTCCTACCAAGAAACTTGCACATCTGTGCTCACTGCTGCTCTACTCACAATAACTAGAAAAATAGAATCAGCCTATATGTCTCTCAACTGACCAATAAATAAGGAAAATATGGGTATATATACACAGTGCAATTTTATTCAGGTGTAAAGAAAAATAAAATTATGAAATTCACAAGAAAGTGAATAAAACTGGAAAAATGTTATACGCAGTGAGGAAACCCAGGCCACCCACATGTTCTCCCTCAAATGTGGATCCTAGCTTTGAATTTTTAGATTTGACTGTGGTGGCGCACACCTTTGGTTTCAGCACTCAAGAGGCAGAGGCAGGCAGATCTCTGAGTTCAAGGTCATCCTGGTTTACATAAAGAGTCCCAGGCCAGTAGTTCAGTAGTTCCCTGGGACTACAGGGAGACCCTGTCTCAAAAAGACCAAAGGAAAAAAAAAATTTGTGTTTTTCATTTGGGGTATCTGTAGAACACAGGAGGGGTTAGAAAGGGCCCATGAGAGGGAGGAAGAAGAAATCTTCATGGGAGAGGGGACAAAATGCACATGTTGAAAGAAGGGGGCGTTGTCAGTGGGAAGGTAACATGTTAGGGGGTGTCCAGGAGGACTCAGAGGGTGGAGTTGTGGGTAAGTATGGTCAAGACACATTATATTCCTGTATGAAATTGTCAAAGCATAAATAAAAGGTATTCTAAAAAGAGGTTTTTGGTTTTCTTTGTATCTTTTTGAGACAGGGTATCCCTGTAGCCCCAGCTGGCTTGGAACACACTATATAGACCAGGCTGTCCTCGAACTCACAGGGATCTGCCTGCCTCTGCCTCTCAAGTACTGGGACTAAAGGAGTGTGCTACCACACTGGGCTCCTAAAAAGAATTTTAAAAAGTAAAAAGTATATGGGAAGATACCTACCATTGATCTGTACATGCAAATGCACACCCATATATAGATGGCGCACACACACACACACACACACACAAACGCATGTTTTCATGCTTTCATCAGCAGCATGTATACTGAAGTTGGAAACATAAAAAGATTAGCACAGCCCTGCACAAGAATGAAATGCAAATTTGTGAAGTAGAGTTTTTGTTGTTTTTTGTTTTAAGCCACCAGGCCTGTAATCTGAGCTGCTCAGGTGCTGAAGCAAGATTCTAAGTTTACATACAGCCTGGGCAAACTAGAAAGACCCTGTCTCAAAATACAATCAAATCCAGAAGGCCCAGTTTGACTCCTAGCACCACCCAAAGAGAAAAACAAAACAAAACAAACAAAAAACCCACAAGAAAATGTTTATCAAAATGTCCTGTCACCTACTAGGAATGTTTAGGATGAACAACAGATCTTTCAGAATGTGATTCCTGAGGGCTTGGACTGACAGTGAAGGCTGTTTTCACAACGTAATTTGCTATGCTTCTGAACAAGCATTTATTTCCCTCCCTCCCTCCCTCCCTCCCTCCCTTCCTCCCTTCCTTCCTTCCTTCCTTCCTGGAGATGGGTCCCTGGTTAAGAGTACATACTGCTCTTCCAGAGGACCTGGTCAAGGCATTTTTGTGCAATCTCCCTTTATCCACCATCCCCCACTGCAGATGACTGACAACACCTGTAACTTCAGCTGTAGGGAATCCAATGCCCTCTTCTGGCCTTCACAAACACCCCATACATGTGGCATACACACATGCATATAAATAAAAGCAAATCTTTTTTTTTTTAAATGTCTGTGAGTCTGGGCTTGGTGGTGCATGCCTTTAATCCCAGCACTAGGGAGGCAGAAGTAGGATGATGTCCATGAGATGGAGGCCAGTCTGGTCTATGTTGCTGCTTCCAGACCAGTTGGGGCTACAGGGAAACCCTGTCTCAAAAAAGACTTTAAAAAAAAATTTATATATATGAGCTCTTCCAGTTTATGTTTGCACAGAGTTGACTGAGTCTTTGTGGCACTCTTGAGTTTGGGCAGAAGGCAATCTTCTTTCCCACCCAGCCCCCACTTCTAGTCACTAAAGCTTAGGCAGAAAGCCCCCGAAGAGTCCCCATCCTTCAGGACCTTCCCAGATAAAGAAAAGATACTGTCTCTCTGAGGAGAGAGGTTTTTCACCAGCTCAAAGATTTTTTGCTTAGTCCCCAGAGACCCCTTACCAAGCGCCCAAGCCCAATGATCTATTCTCCAACCCTCCCATCCAGAGTTGAGGTCTGACCTGAGCATCTCACGCTGGCCACTCCGGTTGGGAGTAGGAGTGGGAAAAGACTCAGGGTGGAAAAAGGAACAAACCAACCTCCAAGATCCAAACTGACCTTTATTAGTCAATGAGGGTGTGAAGCTGACTAGCAACAGTACTGATTCAAGTGGCAGGTGAATTTAAGTATTCCAAGATAGAGTTCTGTGGGTGGGTGTTTGTAAAGGCCCTGGGGCCTGATAAGGACAGAAGGGCCTGTTTTTAACAGGTATTGCTTTATGGCTGGGGGGCAATATGTTGGGGGGGGTCATGGTTTTGAACAGGGACTGACAATATGCTGATAAGGCCTCACCAATGGGAGTGGTGGATTATAACAGGTCAAGGGGGTTTTGTGCAATCTTGCTGTATCCCCCATGCCCCAGAACATAGGAGTCACCCCAGCCCTCCAGCTTTGCCTTTGTAGAGAAGGCTAAAGAATTGCTCAAGGAGACTCTCCTCTGCCTCTCTCTTCAGCCAGCGGCTCTCGGACCTGCAGAGTCTACCCATTTCCACTTCCATGCCACTGAAAAACCCATCCATCCACCCTTCAACGCTCTGCTCAGCCTACTCAGGCCAGACACCCCCAGCCCTTCCCCATACCTTCTAGATGCAGACAAGTCTTCCTCATGTGACAAAACAGAAGCATGTGGAACAGCAGGGCAGAGAGATCTAGTGTCCTCCAAAGGCACATGGCTGGATAAGTCTGGCCAGCAGTGGACAAAGCAAACTGTCCTCTGCCTGGCACTTCCCTCTTTGTAAGCCAGGCCTGGGCAGCTTCTGATTCTACCCTGAATCATGTGGTATCAGGCAAAAAGGGTAAGTGAAGCAATGGATTCCCGTCAGCCGCAGCCCTCCACCGCTGTAACACTGGTCCAAGAACAAGCCAGGTGACCAACCACAGATTCTCTGATTCATCATCCACACCACCATACCCAAGGTACCCCACACAGCCCTGCAACCTCATTGCTGGCACAAGAAACCAGAACCCCCAAACCCATAGGGCCTTCTTTCTATTTATTTATTTATTTATTTATTTATTTATTTATTTATTGTGTGTACACTTGCACACACACATGTGGCATGCCTGGGGAGGTTGAGGGAGCCAGTTCTTTCCACCATGTGGATTCCAGGGATCAAACTCAGGTCATCAGTCTTGGTGGCAAGCACTTTTACCCACTAAGCCATCTTACTGGCCCTGGGATCTTCTTTTAAGACCTAGACAGACTAAGGAAACCCCTTTTCTCCTATAGGGGGCAGGCCCATCACCCCATTCGCTCATCCCTTAGCTCTAAGCAGACTGGGATCCAGCACTGGCTCTCCCCAGGGTGTGGTAGGTGAGCTATGTCCTTAAAGAGCAGGTGGGGAGGGCTGACTATAGGAGTGTAAGAAGTTGGACCAGTTCCCTCCAGACTGCTGCTGTGTGGCCCTGGGCGGAACCCCTGGTTTTAAAAAGCCAGAACCCACCTGGACTGCCCTCAGACCTGCTCTGCACCCTGCACCAGCCTGGCTCAGGTGAGCTCTAAGGTGAGTAGCCATTTGCTAGAACTTCAGTATGCTAGATAGAAGGGACTGGTCCAAGGACCATGTGATGAAGCGGTGGTGGGGGCCTGCCCCATGACTCTGAGAAGTGAGCTACTGTTTAGGACTTTTGAGGACAGAGATGCCAGCCTTCTGGGGCCCAGAGACTTCTGACTTTGTGACCCCATGTGGCAGTGGTTTCGGAGTAAGAGGAGCGAGCCAGCTTTTAGCAGAACTATATGTGGACTGAAAATAAGATGCAATCCAGGAGATCCAGGTTGAGGGAAGGGGTAGGAGAGACCATGGAGGGCAAAAGGAAGCCAGCTCCAGAGATTGGCCTAGACTGTCAACCCCCATGTTCAGAAGCCTGTCATCTACTTCCCCTCCTAGGGCAAAAGGCCATGTGGTTTGTGTATACTGTAGCAGGTGTACGGTCAGTGCTAGGCATATGTCTTAGGATCGACAAATCACAGCTCATTTAATTCCATCTGCATAATTTACAAGGTTGCTAATATCTGCAGGACACTGAAACCCAGAGAAGTTAAGTTACACAGAGCCACATGGCTATGAGAGGGAACTGAGCCCAGCCAGCTGGCACTAGACCTGTGTGATCTCATTATAGCAGTTAGGTTGTGCACATAGTCACTGGCTGCAGAGCTGGACCCTTGACACTAGCCTGTGGCCACAAACATGCAAAAACTGGGGTTGCCACACACAACACGTAGATGGGACACAGGTGAACAGAGCAATGTCCCACATACCAGCAGATATTTCCAGCCAATACTATCTATCTATCCTGGCTGAATAGAATCTGGGGCTGCCTGGAGTGGGGTCCCTAACTGAGGTAGAGACCTAGAACTGCACCCTCCAACCCTGGTACTAGATTATGAGACTCTCTGTAATTCAACCTGGCCACCTCAGGCCCAGATCTTTTCAAATAGAATAGCCCATGGCCTGATCACCACTGTGTAAGATTAGGAAAGTCAAGTTCCAGGTGTGACTTAGAACAACCACCTGGCGTCTGGTTACACTTCCTGAACCCTTCCCCCCTTTTTCCCTCCTATGAAGTAGAGATGATAGTATCTTTGTAAAGATCTTCACAAAGCTCTCTGTGGCCACTACAGGGCACACTGTTCTAAGCACTTAACTAGAATTAACCAGTCCACATAACTAGGCAGTCACTGGTACCCTCTCTAGATGTGAAAGCAGAAAGCACTTTCCTAAGATGGCTCAGTGTAAGATGTGGGGTTCATACCCCCATTCTCATACCAGCTCTGTCCTCACCTGCCTCTGCTTGCTAATGGGGTGAGCTGTGGGGCTGAGGTAGGTCAGGCCACAGGTCCAAGCCCACCCACCTCTACCCCTGCATCTCACTCTGCAGCCCTGCAGCCCCACCCTGTATCCTGACATGGAGGGAGTATCCTGTGCCTTGTTCCTGGTGCTAGCAGGTGAGTCCTCCGTGAACTCCACCCACCAAGGCAGTGGAGATGAGACAGCCCCTCCCCAAAGGACAGCTGGTGCCCAATAAACCTGTTCACATTCAAACTGTCAGCTGCATGAAATGTTAGTGCTGGTGGAATGAGGACACTGAAGAGATAGCTCTAATAGCTCTTGAGTCATTGACCTGTGGAAAACGGACCATAGATACACCATGCACATCAAGGAAGGCCAGTTTTTTCAAGAGACAGACAAGGAGCATGACCCTGCCAGAAGCTTCTCTGAGAAGCAACCACTGTACTCAGTACACAAGAAAGAATAGCAGGAAGTCAAAAGCAGGAAGGACTACGGATGGGAAGTCATGGGTATCAGGGTGAACACCAAAAGCCCAGCCCTGCTTGGGCCTGGTAAAGGTCTAAGGAAGGGACCTAGTGGACCTAGGATTACCTTCCAGATCCCCTGCCCCACAGCTGACTTATTTAGACACCAGTATGATGAATCCCCACTGTTTCTCCCACCCAGGTCTGCCTGCCTTGGAAGCCAACGACCTGATTGGTGAGTGTCTCCATTGCCTGCACCCCTGCAAATGCGCTCTGCCACCTCTAAGATCCACACCATCTCCTGGCTCTGGTCTTTATATTTTTTGTTCTTTACTGCAGATAAAGACAGTCCTTTCTACTATGGTAAGAGCTGACACTCCCTATCCAACTCCCCATCCTTGTCTACTTTGAACCTCTTTGCCAACCAAATTGATGGGGATGGTGCATAGCCCAATGCAGACAAGATGAGGCAGGACATCAAACCTGTTGTTCTTTGTGAGAGCTCAATGCAGTGAGGAAAGACAGTACCCCAGAACACGGAGCAGGGTTTGGAGGCCTAAGTTGAGCCCAGAGAACCTTGTCTCTTTCTCTGGATTCTTCCCCGTGTCTCTCCTCATGGCACATATATTACATGATGTACCTATTAAATGGCTTAGTTTCTTTCTCATTGCCTGGAATGTAAGTGCCATGTGGGCAAGTATTTATTTATAGGGCAAGTGGGTACTTGTAAATGCCTGCCACAAAGCCACACTCCCAGCCCCATAAATACCTTCTGAATGAATGTGTGGGTGTGCTGGATGGTCTGAGCTCACTGTGTCCCCCTCCCCATGACCACCATCAAGACTGGGAAAGTCTGCAACTGGGCGGAGTGATCATTGGAGCGCTCCTGTGCATCGCTGGATTTGCCATGGCCCTGAGTGAGTAGGGGGGCATTGGCAGAGTGGGGAGCAGGAGGCTCAGACTCAGCTGGGTCTCACTAGGTTCTTCTCTCCCAGGTGGCAAATGCAAATGCAGGCACAATCAGCAACCCAGGTAAGACAGTGGCCCTGGTCTATGTGCCTTCAGCTGCGCAGACCTGTGTGGTTATAAAACCCTAAGATCTAGAGAGAACAGCCTGAGAGAACAGCCTGGCTATTCATTGGGCTTCAAGTAGGATTTACTGTTTGAAGATAATCATCCCTTTTACAAGTCCCAAATCAGGGAAAACCCCACCCTCTGATATAAGAAGTTACTATGGAAGAATATTAAGGTGTACCCCCAGCTGAGTGTGGTGGCATATGCCTGTAATCACAGCACTTGGGAGAGAGAGGCAGGAAGATCTGCAGTTCAAGATCATTCTTGGTTACAAACCAAGTTCAAGACTAACCTGGGCTACATGAAACCCTGTCTCAAAAAGAATCAAATAAATGCATAAATAAGCAAAAGGGTGTGCCTGGGTACAGAATGGGGTGAGAGAACAGGGGATCCTCAGTGCTACTCTATCTAATGCTAACGGCTTCCTTTCTCTAGCCCGGTAACTGGGAAAGCCACCCCACTCATCAATCCAAGTGAGCTGGGCCTCTGTGGGTTGCAGGATGGGGGAGGGGGGCAGTGTAGGAACTGTGTCACTTTGAAGCTGCTGTCCCAACTCTCCACAGGCTCTGCCAGTACCTGCTGAACACAGGACCAGCTTGGAAGGTCTGCTGTGCCCTCTGCCCTTCCAGTCTCCTTCTGCTCCTCCCTTCTGGAGACCTTCCTCTCTGGAGCACATTGTTAAGTCCCCAATGTCAGGGAAGGGGAATGTCCCAAATTTATTTTTACATTAAACTGGTCCCTCTTTCCTGTGGTCTTGTGACTCCTATGTGGGTGCTGGGGAGGTGGGGGCAGGGATCCCCCGGTGAGTTGCTCCCTGTGGCCTTGTAGCTGGAAGCCCACTCCCAGTAAGATCCCACTTTGAGAGCCTCATAATCGATCCCTGCCTCAGACGCTGTCCCCAGGGCACCCAGTCCAGTAACGCACCACGTAAGGCTCCCTTGATCCTCCCATTCCGGGAAAATCTTGCACAGCCCTGAGACCAACACATGGGACACGACCTTGCCTCCAGTGTCCTGGGACGCGAGTGCATCTCGTAGTGTCGCCTCGGGAGGGCCAGTGGAGGGAGAGCCGCTCAGTGGGTCACTGGGACAGACAGGCCCTGCAGGCGGGGGGGGGGGGGCAGAGCTGGGCTTTTGGAGCCTGAGGAGGGATGCTAGCTGGGCATCGGACCCAGAGGAGGCTTCCAAGTCGCATCCTCAAAAGGTGAGAAAATGCTCTGGACGAAAAAACGGAGCGAGCAAACGTCCCGAGGGCAAAATGGCCTCGCTACTCCTCCCGCAAAATAAAGTCAGCGAGCCGGAAAGCAGGTGATAAGATCAGAGCGGCCAGAGGGACTGAACCAGAGCCTGCCCGGCAGCGCCCTCTGGGGCACCTCGCACATGCTCTATAAACGCCCTGCAGGGAGGGCCGTCCCGTCTCAAGCAGAGGGAACTCTGAGAAGTCTGAGGCAACCGGCAGGAATCTACCAACAGGAACCAAGCAGCGGAAAACCTGTTATCGCAATCCAAGGTTTGGGAAGCGCTGCGGCTGTACGCAATCCTAGCCGAGTGAAACTGGCTCTTGCCTGGTCAGCAGTACACCCATCTTCAGCTGCTTGTCCTGTGTGCACTGTGTAGTACCAGAGACCTGTCGCATGCACGCCTGCTTTGCTCTTAGCTTGCCGAACACTGGCATTGTTTAAATGCCGCCACTCTGTTGTATTTTGTTGGCGATGAGGTCGCATGCAGCCCAGGTTAGCCTCGAACCTGAAGCCAGGGTTGACCTTGAACTTATGCTCCTCATGCCTCCACCTCCCAAGTGCTGGGATTACACCAAACCATCAAGTTTGGTTTGTGTGATGCTGGGGATCAAACCCAGGGCCTCCTGCGTGCTAGGCAAGTGTTCTACCAGCTGAGCTACATCCCGTTCCTATTAGCAATCACTGCTTTTTGTTTTGTGTATGGGGAAGGGAGGTCAGAGGTGGGAAGTCTCCCTGTGGTCACAGCTGTCCTGGAACTCACTATGTAGACCAGAATGGCTTCAGTCTCAGAGATCCGCCTGCCTCTGCCTCCCATGAACTGGGGTTAAATGTGTGCTGTCACCACCACCACCACCACCTCCCCACCCCCACCCCCGAGCAATCACTCCGAAGTCCAGGGGCCTCATAGTGTCCTCTCCTAACCATGAATCAGTAAACCCTACCTGCTAAACCACAGGTTTGTTGTGCAGTGTGGAAGGTGACAGGGTGTGAGGGAACATAGAAGCCAGGCTGTCCTGGGGACAGAGCCGGGGGTACATGGTAAGATGCAGGATGGAGATGGTCTCAGCTCCAGATGGATGTACAAGGTGCCAGCCTGAATTTAGATAGCGAATTAGCCCCCAGGGAAACAGGCTCTTCTGTCTTCCTCCTCTGAGAGGAGGTAGAGGCAGCCATGGGGTGAGAGATATCCCTCTCCAGGTTTCTGTCTGTGCATCTCAAAGAGCCCTTCCTTCAGACTGTCTCCCTCTGACAGGAGTGGGGGAAGGGAGGGCAGCTTCACTCACAATTGCAATTGTTCTCCCTTGCCATCCTCTCGTAAGTGAAGGGCTTGGGGAGCAGAGAAAGCAAAGGATAATTTTCTTTTTAAAAAAAGTATTTTATTAGGGGCTGGAGAGATGGCTCAGCGGTTAAGAACACTGGTTGTTCTTGAAGACCCGGGTTTGAATCCCAGTACCCACATGGCTGCTAACTCCTGTTCCAGGGGATCTGACAGCCTCTTCTGCCCTCCACAGGCGTTGCACGACACAGGTGCACTTACCTACATGCAGGCAATACACACATACACGTAAAAATTAAAAAAAAAATTATTTTTATTTGTACGAGTGTATTGCCTGCATGCATGTAGGTGCACTGCCTGTGGAAATCAGAAGAGAGTATTGGAGCGCCAGTGGGTGCACTCCTGTCATGCAGTGCCTGCAGAGACCAGAAGAGTACATCAATCAGATCCCGTGGAACTAGAGTTAAGGGGCAGTTGTTAGCGGCCAAGAGTGTTGGGAACTGAACTCCAGGTCCTCTGCAAGAGGAACAAGTGCTCCACTATACCATCGCTCTAGCCCCCACTTTTTTTTTAAAAAAAAAAGACAGGAAGATGGGGTCTGGCCTCAAACTACATAGCATCCATTCCATAATCTTGAATTCTTGCTCATCCGTACTCCACCTTCCACCACTCCACCCTTTGATCAGATTACAGGCATGTGCCACCACAACTGGTTCTACCCAGCTCTGGGTATCAAACCCAGGGCCTTGCACATACTAAGCAGGTGTTCTACAACTGAGTGCAATACACCCCAGCCTGGCATTTAAGTATATCTACTATACAACAAAAGAATAATCCAAGTGTGGTGGCAATCACCTGTAATTCCAGCACTTGAGAAGTAGAGGCAGGAGAATCACTGCAAGTTTAAAGCCAGCCTCACCTGATTAAGTTCCAGGCCAGCCAGGACTACACGGTAAGACATGATCCAAAAAAAAAAAAAAAAAAGAGCAGAAACCACTGCCAGGGGCCTGGAGAAATGGCTCAGTTGGTAAAGTGCCTGCCTGGCTTTGATCTCCAGCACCCATTTAAAACCCAGGTATAGTAGCATGCACCTGTATGTAACCCAAGGGCTGGCAGGGGGTAGGGAAAGTAGGTATATCCTTAGAGCTCATTGGCTGGTCAGCCTAGCTGAACTGATTAGCTCCAGATTCAGTGAGAAACCCTGTTCCAAGTAATGAGGTGGAGGGCAATCAAGAAAGACATTTGATTTTGACCTCTGACCTCCACATGCACTAACCTGTGACACACACACAAACGCAGATACAAACTATATAGGTGAGATTAATCACCAGGTTAAGGTGCTTGCCCCCAGGCCTTATGGTAGAATTGGAACTGATGCCCTCAAGCTCTTCGCTGACCTGGCCTGCTACCAAGTCTGCCAAAGAACCTGTTTGATCCTAGGTCCTGCAATATGTAGTATCAGCAATTTCCTCCTAACTGAAACATGGCCTCCAGGGACGAAGGGTAAGCTCTCGAGATCCAAGTAAAATTTTGAGGAAGCTTAATTCTACAGCATTCACCAGGGTCCATCCCAAGGTTACAGACACAGTAAACAACCACATGGAGACTTTGGCCCACCCAGTTCCCAAGAGAAGATTCTGACACCCACAGCGCGGTACAGAGCTTGAGTTGCAGCTTGAGTCACTGCTACTCCTGGCAGGTAACCAACCCCCAAGGGAAAAACTTGTTTTAAGGGGCTGGAGAAATGACTCAGTGATTAAGAGCCCTCGGTGCTCTTGCAGAGGACTCAGGGTTCAGTTCCCAGCATCTGCATGATGGATACCAGTTCATTCCTATCTCCAGTTCCACAAAAATCCGATGCCCTCTTCTGGCCTTGGAGGGCACTGCACATAGTGCACTTGGCAAATGAAATAAAGGGGTATTGTTATTTTGGTCTGTGGTGGGTTCCCTATTTGGCATGAATTGTGTGTGTGTGGTGTCTCCAGAAGTCTCATGCAACATGGTGGAAGGAGAGAACAGTCGAAGTTGTTCTTTGGCCCCTGCTCCCCTCCCACGCATAATAAAATGTAATAAAAATAGAAGTATTTTTTTTTCTTTTTGAGGTAGGGTTTCTCTGTAGCCCCAGCTGTCCTGGATTCACTATGGAGAACAGGCTGGCCTTGAACTCAAGAGATCCACCTACCTCTGCTTCCCAAGTGCTGGGATTAAAGGCATGTGCCACCACTTCCGGCAAAGTATGATTTTTAAATTAGGAGAAAAAGCCTTTTTTACAGTTTTCACCTGTGTTCTGAAACTGCCTCAAGTCTTGTCACAAACTCAGGAGGCAACTCTGATAGATGTAGTTTTATCAAATCTTTATTTCTGGACAATGGGTCAGAAACTGGCTTAACTTCTCAGATGTCTGTTATGAAGTTTTCTACAGTAAGTGTAGAATAATAAAATCAATAATAAACAAATCTGGAAGAAATAAGATTTGTCCAATGAAAAGGGAATTCAAAAAAGACAAGTGGGCAGGTATGGTGGCTCAGACCTACAATCTCAGCATTCTGAGGACTGACAGGAATTTGAGGCTAGATTGGGCTAGTATCAAAAATAAAACAGAAAGGAAAGCTCTGGAAAATGCTCTTGAAAGCTAAACCAATTTTTATAAAGCCTTCTGAAGTAAAAACCTACAGACCAAGGAGAAAATATATCTTAAAATACCAATAGGGCTGAGCAGATGGCTCAGCAGGTGTGAGATTAGTTTCAGTTGCCAACTTGACACATCTGGAAAGGACTCAAGAATTTCTTCCGTCAGACCGGCTTGTGGACATGTCTGCGAAATGCCAGTTGAGTGATGTGGGAGACCCAGCCCACTGTTGGTAGCGCTACCCGTGTTAAGGCAGGCCGAGCAGAAGCCAGGAGAGCAAGCCAGTAAGCAGCATTCGCCCATGGTTTATACCTCAGTTTCTGCCCTGACAGCCTGTGGTAACACACCAAACTGTAAGCTAAAATAAGCCTTTACATCCTCCAAGTTGGTTTTCGTCAGTTTCATCACAGCAATAGAGAAGCAAACTAAAATGGAAATTGGTATCAGAGAGTGGAATACTGCCAATGGAACTGACCATAGTGTTTTGGGGAGGGTTGTCTATATAAAGTTTTTGGACTTTGGGCTGAAAATTCCACAATGAATGCTTGGAGTCTAGTGAGCTGTTCTATGGGAACTTAAAAATAATGCTGAAGGAAAGG